TTTCATCGGGAGGTTGCTCTTGAATTAACTCCAATTCAGTTACTAGTGGAAACAAGGCAGGATTCAATTCCTATTAGTGCTTATACAAACTTTTATTTAGCTTACCAACCTGAGAACATGGGGCAACTGTGAAAAAGTGGGATTAGGATAGGGGACAAACTGTCAGATAAAACTGTGATGTAAAAGACTGCCACGTTTAGTGATACGTATCTTTAATACCAGCTACTCAAAGGCAGAGATAGAGAGACTTGTATGTAGTTCAAAAGCTAGGCCCTACAAAAGGTTAGCTATATCCATCTCAACAAATGAGCTCAGCACAGTGGTATATGGCTGTGATTCCAGCTACACAGGATGTGACATCAAAAAACTGGTATCACATCTAGTACTGGCACCCAAAAACAAACAAATCTAGCTAGCTGCACAGATCGTGTATTTCACGGTCAAACTTGGTGTCCAGTCACTCAAGTATGCCACTGCAAACACCTAAGAATACTGGCTATTGAAGAGCTTGGGTTTTGTTTTGACAAGGACTTCACCGTTCACTTCTAGACTGGATGTTTTGAAATGTAGGAAATGCTCAACCAAATCTAGGATTACAGCCAGGCAATTGCGGAGAGATCTAATTTCTGGATGACCTCAAAGAATTCCTGGGAAGCAGTAAATCTTACAAAGGTGTGTTTGTTGCAATTTGTCCACAGGGAGCAGGCCCAGTTTTGTAGGGCACCTGTTTAGAATTCAGCCTGCGGTGCTGCCAGAAATCCCATAGTTGCGACTATTTCTCAAGTAGGGTCTAAAGGAGCAGACCAGCACTGCTATTACACAGAAAGCAAGGTACACTTGCTCACAGAAAGGACAAACCAACAAAGGGCTTAAGAAACAAGTCCTTAGTGTTCAAATATGTTTAGAATGATACTCCAGTGATAAAGCAAGGCTCCATTGCACTCAACACTCTTCTGTGTCTGCTCCAGCATCTTCCAACTGTCCCATGAGTGACATCCTTGGAGCCGGGCTGGTCTATGCAGCGAGTGAACTGATCAGCAGCAGCCTGGGTGGCTAACTCTACTGGAAACTATTATCAAAGTCCTGCCCAAAATGATGATGGCCAAAATATCTCTAGGTATTTCTTCATGTCCTGTGGCCATGGTGGCAGCAAAAAAGGACTTTGTCCCCAATAGAAAAACATTGCCATATTCTACCAGTCCCAGGCTAGCCTTCAATAAAGACTTGCTGGTAATCACATAGAGTAAATACAGAATAAATAGTATCACCAATAGGCCAATTCTTCCATGATACTCTGAAAATTTTCTTAATTTCTTTTTAGTTTTTTAGCATAAAAAGTAGTGATTGATAGCTAGATAGATGAACCGACACTGAGATATTTAAATGGTATAAATACTTGCTGGGTACCAGTGTCCACACCTGAAATCAATACGCAGGAGGCTGAGATCTAAGAACCACATTTTGAAGCTAGCTCCAGGCAGGAACGTCCATGAGAATTTTGCCTCCAATTAAACATTATAAAAGCCAGAAATGGCTCAAATGGTAGAGCATTAGCCTTGAGGCAAAAAAGCACAGGAATAATGCTTAAGGCCATTAATTCAAGCCCCAGAACTGGCGTGTGCCCACGCACGCGCGCGCACACACTCACACACACACACACAAACATACACGTATGCCCTCACACAGAGAGCAAACAAACATTAGGAAGACAACGATTGTTAATAAAGAGCTCAATGAGCAATACAACATTATATAAAATATCACAGGCATGTAAGGAACGAAAGTGAGCAACTTTTGTATGTATATTTTAACATTAAATTGGATGCAGTTACCTTCAATCTCTGTAATTCATGTTCCTCCCAATATAGCACTAAGAACTTTAACATGTTTATCACATTTTCAGGAAGCAAGTTATGAACCAGACAAGCTTCAATGATAAATTCAATTAATATAGGCAGGCTTGCCATCTGACATTACTTAAAAGAAAAAAAAGAAGCAAGTAACTTAGTCAAGCAGTAAGTCTGGGCACAGGAGCTGCCAGAGCTGAATTCCATGGCTCTCATTAAGTAACAGAAACCAAAATATACTTTGTAAGTCATAAGGTCTCAAAACCATGGGGAGTCTATTTTATTTTATTCTTTTCTACATTCAAGCATAAGGAGGAGACATCTTGGCAAGGGATGAAGTGATTACAAATGATGCTGATGTTTTCAGTTCCTTGCTCTAAAGACCTTCTCTTCCAGGGTAACCACAAGACAAAGTTTTCAAACTTTTAAGCACAGACCTTTTGTCCAGAACATTAGCTGAACAAATGGTAACCCAATTCTAGGACAAAGAGGCTTCAGAGTAAAGCTGGCTAGTGTAGACTACCTCTTCCATTCCCCTACCCAGGGAAGCCTGTCCACAGACAAGAAGGGATTTCTATTTAGCAATATGCTGGAATTTTGCTTCTAGGAATCAAGTTTTCCAAGTATGAATAAAGTCAGACTTCCAAGAAATGAGTCATTCCATTCAGAGGGTGAAGGGGATCCCATTAAGCAGAAATCCTACTCCGGAGACATATAATTAGTGTGACGAGAACAGGAAGTTCCAGAGTCCTAGAACAGGGAGGATATGGGCACTAAGAAATTGTTAGCTCAATGAAACAAAAAAAGCAGCATTTTCTTAGAGTAGCTAACCCTGGTTTACCAAGGAACAGTGTATAGGGAAGATATCTATGTCAGTGTAAGCATGTAATACTATGTCAAGTATGGTCTGATTTTCTTTCACACCCCCTAGATCCTGACTCCTTTCTCCAAGGCATACCACAGAAACACTAGAATCCCTCTTGCACAGGTGGGTCATGCTACCGTTCCCCTGCCCTTCTGTCTTTAAACTGCCCGCAGGGAGATGTTTTGGTCCTCCAATGGTAATGACTGTCTCACAAGAACATGGCCCTGGAAAAGAAATGTCCTTCAGCTCTTTCCAGAAGAAAAAAAAAGAGGAACAAGAGAAGCAGCACCTGGTACAGAGCCCCAATTCCTACTTCATGGATGTGAAATGTCCAGGATGCTGTGAAATCATCATTGCCTTTAGCCAAGCACAAATGGTACTTTTGTGTGGTGGCTGCTTCATAGTCAGATGACAGCTGACATCAGGGAAAGCTAGGCTTACAGAGAGACGTTCCTTTAGGAGGAAGCAGCACTAAACGTCTTATGAACTGTGGTGAGTGAGGAAGCCATCCCAATAAAACATATTTTGGGAGGGGAAGAGAAAGAAAGGAAGGAAAGGAAGGAAGGAAGCAAGGAAGGGAGGAAGAGAGAAAGAAAGGGAGGAGAAAACGCGGGGAGGGGGGCTGAAGGGAAGGAGAGAGGGAGGGAGGAAGGGAGGAAAGGAGATAGGAAGGAGGGAGAAAACAAAACAAATGTTTCCCAGATTTCAGTGAGCTGCTCTAACCAATTAATAATAACAAGATGGGATCATGGAAACCCTAACTTGTAGGTGGTTGTTAAGAATGACCAGGGGTATAGAGTGCTGACTGAACCATCACTTTAAACTATAAGGCCTAGACTCTCTCCTCAGCTAGACAGGGTCGGAATGGAACTAACTTGAAGAGATAACCAGCTGGTGAATTTCTAACTGGCTATCTCTGGGATAAAAGCCCCACATATTTGGGATCACAGAATATTTGTTTCCCCACATCCTCAACAGCATCTATAAACAACGAGACACCACTGATTTTCTTATTGTAGAGGTTCTTTAACTAAGCTTCTAGGAGAAGGTTCATACACAGGCTCGGGAAAAAGATGAAATGCTAACAAATCAGAGGCACATCCATGTGTGGACACTTTCAGTCCCTTCTTTCCAGAAGGCCCCTCTCGCACTCACCCGATCACCAAATCATTAATACCTTAAACGAAATTATGAAATAGCATTGGGTTGCAAACATTCCTTGCCTTTTGATTAAAACATGGTAAAACCTTACAGTCACTCGGTGCTTCAGTACAACAGAGAATGGTGCCACCCCCATTTAGTTCTTCAACAAATTTGTAAGCCTGGCACTATTTGTAGGTGCCATGATGATATATGTATGTGCGTGTGCATACATGCATGCACATACATGTGCATACACACGTGTACATGCTTCCAGCTAAAGTTCCTGGCTCCTGACTCCCTCTGTAAGGCAGATCACAGAAACTAGAATCTCTCTTCCAGTGCAAGGCTAGCCACACAGAGAACAAATTCATCAACAAAGATATTCACCATAATTCACACATGGACCATGGCTAGCAGCAGAAGTGATGCTCCACTCTGAGCTAACATTAATGAAGGACTGGAGACCCATTCCCTCCTTTGTCCCTACCCGTCTCTACAGAACCTCTGGCATCCACACCTATCTTCTTCTCAGTGGCGTGGATTTGTGAGAAGATGGGCACAAATGTCTAAGTGCTGAACCAAAATAGATATCCATTAATCCCCGCATACTGAGTGGTGACTCATTCCCCTCTCTCTCTCCCTCCACCCCAATCTCCCTCCCCCCCATGGCCTTCCCCAGTGGTTTTAGCCTTTTCATCCACAGCTGGCTGGAGCACAAATCATTTTTCAAACAAGTTCACAATGAAGAGAAAGATCTGGAGACTCCAATTTTGGATGCCACTTGCTTTCCCATTTCTTAAAAAGGTAACAATAAAGTCACCCAGGTTACACACAAATGTCACCTTCAGAAAGCAGGGTTTCAGAAACAGAGCGGAAAAAGGAAACAAGCCATCCACTTCATCAACCAGGGAGGGCTGAGTGTGTGTGTGTGTGTCTCTGTGACCACTCTTGGGTTCTCCATTTAGAACAAAGATGAGCAACTAGCATGGCCAACTACATAGTAGGACTACATAGAGAGTCGGGGTTCCGAAGGTATGAGAGGAGATTCTGCCCAACTTTCACTTGCAGAACGACTGCAGGAGAAGGACCTGGCAGGAATCATTTGAGCACCCCCACACAGCACAGTTATATTCAGATTCTCTCACCTCCACGGGAAACCTTCTGCCATTGACACTGTGTTCGGAGCCTGCAGAGCCATTGCTGTGGCCCCAGTGGAATTCCACCTTCTCAGCTTTGAATCTGCCAGGCAGGCCAGCGCCACTGACGAAATAGTCATCTTTCAGAAGGATGGCAACTGTGCAAAAGGGAAAGAAGAGAGAAATCAGTGAGCTTCAAACTCAGGCTTAGGATGTCTCCCATTGCTTGTAAGGAAGCTCACAATTACCATGATGCCAATTATTTCCTTACATACCTATTAACAAACAAGTCAAATCCATCAGGCTGCATAAACTAGGACATCTCAGCTACAGATCCAAGAGAGCTGGGATTACCAGTTGGATCTAAACTGTGACAATTCCCAGGGAAATACCTCAGAATTTCTAATTCTGTTGAACAGATGGGGGGGAAAGGGAGATGATGAGCGAAGTAGCCTGGTTTCACTGTCTACAAAATTTAAATGACAAAATTATCTGGAGCCTGAGAAGTTTCTTTTGAAGCACATTCCCGGGGATTTCCCAAGATTCAAGATCTAGAATGAAATAGGAAATACTCAACATATACCAGACTGGAGAGAGGCACATTCCTTCCATAAGAAAACTGAAGCAAGGTATCAGGGGGAAACAAAATTGCAGTTCTTCTACTATTAAAGATATTGTATGGGGAAGATAGGATTTGGGAGTACAGCCTTTAAATATGATAACTATATTCAAGAAAGCATACTGTGAAATCTAATCATAAGGTCACTGAAATATTGCCAGATAATTTGATTTCCCCTGCTGCTTCTATCTCCAAGCAGAAGAACATTTTCCTTCAGCTCAGGAGAAAGAACACATGCACAGCACAGAACTTAAACCAATCCCAACTCCAAATTTCAAAAACATACCTCCTTCCTTGGATCTCGAGAAAAAGGATTCAAGAAAAATTTGCTTTGTTGCTTTGTATGTCCCTCCCCCACGGTATAACCCCTGCTTTCACTGTATTTGATGTTGGTATAATTTGTGGAGGGGAAAGGAAAAGACAAAACATTTAAATAAGGATACAGGTGGATCCATTGCAACAATGAGACGTATAAGTCATTATGTCGAAAACGAAAAAATGGTGGGGGGGGAGATGGTTGGGTAGGGGGGACAGGGGGAGGATGGGATGGGAAGGGGAAACAAAGGAGGCTACAATGCTTGATAAGAAATGTACTCATTATCTTGCCCATGTAATTGTAACCCCTCTGTACAGTATTTTCACAATAAAAAAAATTTCAAAAAAAAGAATAATTTGGATTTGTGTTAACAGAATATAATTCTTTTTGCAAAAGGAAAGTTTATATATATATATATATATATATGTATATATCATCTCTCTTGCTCTCTCTGGGTCTGGGCACTGTCCCTCAGCTCTTCAGCTCAAGGCTAGCACTCTACCACTTGAACCACAGTGCCACTTCCGGCTTTTTCTGTTTATGTGGTACTGCGGAATGGATCCCAGGGCCTCATGCTTGTAAGGCAAGCACTCTATCACTGAGGCACCTTCCCAGCCCAATGATTTGTGTTGTAAGTAACAGTCTCTTTTTTTCCTCTCATAAAGTAGATTGATTCATTCACTCAACAAGTTCTTGGTAGCTGCCAGAAAGTCATGTAACATGTCAACCAACCCACTGAATGGCTGTGACCAAAGTTAAGCTGATGTAAGCCATGGGAAATGAGAGTTCCCCAGATCTTGTCTCTTCATCCCAAAGAGTTCCTACTTAAGAGCCTTAGAGAGAAATTCTGCATAAAAATTAGGTCTCCATAAAAGATAAGGAGTAGACTAATGACCCATTTCTAAAACAGGGCAATTAGTTTCAGTACTTCGCAATATAAAAAAAGCATTAGAAGCAAGTAAAGAAATCCAGCTAATATAAATCCCTTTTTAGTGCATTCAAACGGCACTTTTTCCTCCAACATCTGAAAAATATACAGTGAATGTTCAATTAGGGGGACAGGGAATTAAAGGCTAAAAATGAAGTAAAAGCAAGTGTGTCTTGTGCCAATTAAACACACCCTGGCAGTATTCCAACTTTACTCTGTTTGGGGCATGCTTTAGAACGGAGGTTGGCACACTTTTCCCTTAAAGGGCCATTTGATAAGTACTTTATAGGCTATGCAGAACACTGAGTCTTTGGTGCTCTTTGTAGCACAGAAACAGCAAAAGGTAACCTATGGATGAATGACAAGGTGATGTTCCTATAAAACTTTATTGAAACACATGGCACTCTGAGTGTGATACCGTTTTCACATATCACACAGTATTTTTTTCTTCACTGCTTCCAACCATGAAAAATATAAAAATATCAGGCATCGGTGGCTCATGCCTGCAACTGTAGTACTCAGGAGATTGACCCCTGAGGACTGTAGTTCAAAGCCAGCTTATGCAGGAAAGTCTATGGGACTCTTATCTCCTATTAACTACCTCCCCCCGCAAAAAAAAGCCAGAGGTGGAACTGTGGCTAAGTGGTGAAGCCGAGTCTTAGTGAAAAAGCTCAGAGACAGCACCCAAGCCCTGAGTTCAAGCCCCAGGACCATCACAAAAAACAAACACACATATATATATAATATAATCTTATGCACATTATTGTAACATACACAGAATAGTATATGATACCACCACTAAAACTTTCTAATGTCAAAATACCTAGGCCTTAGCTCAATTCTGCCTGCTATATAATATACAAACTCTATATATAAAATTTTTGCCTCCAAAACATAGAGGCATCTGTTATAATACACCAAGGGACGCAGCAACATCCTATAAATATTTGATTTTACCTAAATCATTTATGTCTCTGTCAGGGGTCATTTTACTTGTTTTATATTAATTATTAAAGGCATAATTAGGGAACCGTACAAAATGAAACATTAATCTCATTTTTCATTTTGTGGAATTTCTCACCACACACACACACACACACACACACACACACACACACACACGCATATACAGCATACTATATCACCTTCCAAAAATTGCCTTTTTTTTTCTTGTTTACATAGAGATCTGGGAGAAGCACTTTCCCTGCTCTCATGTAAGGATTTTCTAATGAACACTGATCACTGCACTGGCTTGACTCACCATGGGGCAAAGTCAGTTACCATAGGACACATGGGATCTTATCAGTATGCATTCATCTCCTCTAGCTTGCAAAAGCATTATGCCCTCAAGTACCTTATCCTACATCTCTCGTGCCTCAGGTTCCCCCTGGTTCACCTGGGGATGAAAATCATAATGCCCTGCCAGGTTTTTTTGTTCCCTGAAGAAAACCATAGTCCAAAATCCTGAGTCCAGTTGTTAGGAAGGCAGCCAGCACAGGCCCAAGGACACCTATTGCTGATTATTTCTAGAATCCAGGGCAGAGTTCCTGTATAGCACAGAAGGCTGGCACTCTCATTCTAATTGGAGCTCCATTCTAAAGCAATATTGTCTTCAAAGACAGAAGTAGCTTGAAGTAGGGACAAAATCACAGCATAAGTCACCATAGCTAAGATATGGAACCAACCCAGATGCCCCTGAGTAGACAAATGCCCCTCAATAGGTAAAAATGTATGTATGTATGTATGTATGTATGTATGTATACACACATGCATATGTATATATGTGAATATATATTCATATATGTATATATATGAATATATATATACATTCTATGCATCCATCAGAAAGAATGACATTGCCCCATTTGTTAGGAAATGGAGACCTGGGGAAAAATCATATTAAGTGAAGTAGGCCAGTCCCAAAGAAATATAGGTCCTATGGTTTCCCTTATTGGAAATAATTAGTATACATATAGGATAATCTTATCAGATGAGCAGAAAATCTCAAAAAGCTAGGTACATATGATCATATAAGATGATGCTAAGTGAAATGAACCCCAAGATAGGGACACAAGAGGTTTTTCTTTGTTGTTGTTTTTCATGTACTGTGATTTGGGGGGGGTTCTTTTGTATATTCTTCCCCCATGTATATTCCCTGTTGTCACTGTACTTGATTTTGGTACCCTGCATCTTGTATATGTGCATTTGTCTAATTTGGGGAGGGGAAGGGGAATAACAAAATGCTGAAACAAGGACACAGGATGACCCATTACAACAATGAGACTCACAAGACACTATGTTGGAAATAAACTTTACAACTTTTCGTTGGCAGGGTGGGGGGCGGGCGGGAGGGGAGGGGTAGTATGAGAAAAACAAAGGAGGGGGTAACAATGTTCAACAAGAAATGGACTCATTACCTTACTCATGTAACTGTAACTCCTCTGCATGGCACCTTTGCAATAAAGAAATAAAAAAAAACAAAAACAAAACAGGGCAGGTGGGATGTGGCCCAAAACTTTTCTATAAGTTTCGTCCAAGGTGCAGTTCTCACTTCATTAAAACACACAGTGAAGGAAAAAGGAGAGGGAAAGAGAGGGAGAAATGGGGAGAAAGACAGGGGAAAGGGGGGAGAGGAAGAGAGTTATGTCCTTCAGATCATATCAAGGAAAAGAAAACCTGAGTTTTTTGATCATGTAAACCTCTACTTTTTCATGACATTCACTCATTTCTCAATTTCCATTCAAGACTTAGAATTTAGTAACAAAGGTAACTGTGACATTTTATCCATTATATATATATGTATATGATATATATAGTTATATATATATAACTATATATATAGTTATATATATATAACTATATATATAGTTATATATATAACTATATAGTTATATATATATATAGTTAACAGTAAGTTCACTTGGTGACCACTAGCACTGTTGTCCCCATTTATGGTGTTGATAAAAAGTTTTCTTTGAGCTGTACACTGGTGGCTCACATCTACAATCCTAGCTACTCAGGAGGCTGAGACCTGAAGACTGGTTCAAACCCAGTCTGGGCAGACAAATCCAAGAGACTGGTATCTTCAATTAACTAGCAAAAAAATGGAACTGGAGATATGGCTCAAGCGGCAGATTACCAGCCTTGGGTGAAAAAGCTCAGGGAGAACATGATCACCCCACTCTCTCCAAAAAAGGTTTTCTTTGAAAATTATTTCATTAAATTGAGCTACAATAAGCAAAAACTAAGAAAACTAGTAAGCACATAATACTATAAGAATAAATAAAAACAAAAT